CTCATTTAACGCAATAAGAAAACAAGAAATTACGATAAAAAACAATATAAAAAAACTTAATGAATTTTCGACACAAACGACATCTCGACTTTCCAACCTTAATCTAGAAATTATAATGAACGATCAAACCTCCAGATTATTCGCACTATCTTCAATTATCTCGGAAGAATATACTTTGTACATTGAATCCATCGAATCTGCCATACATAATATTATTTCACCTTCAGTGATTACACCCAAAATATTTTACGAAGAATTAATCAAATATCAAGATCAATTCGAATTTGCAATAACGCCAGAATCTCAAAGCCTCGCAATATTTTATAACATTACGAATGTCAAAGTCACAGTTACAAAAAGAGACGTAATTTTCAATCTATACGTCCCATTAGTAACAAAAACGAAATTTAATATTTATCGATTAATCCCATTGCCAATTTTGAATGAAATAGATTCCAATTTTACATATATACAACCAGAGAATGATTATCTCCTTATTTCCCAATCAAAATCCCACTTCCTGAGCCTTCAATCTCTTTCGGAATGCAAGCAGTATCTCAGCAGGAAGTACATATGTTACGGACAACACATCATCAGAACAACAGATCAGCCAAATTGTGAATTACAAATTATGTCCTCCCACATCAATCATCTCCCGAGTTCCTGTAACACTAGAGTTGTCAAAGCAACCACGGAAATCTGGCACTATCTAGACGCAAACCAATGGATATATGTTCTTCAGAAGCCCATCACTCTAACCCTTATCTGTAATGATAAGCCACAAAATCAAATAGAAGACGTAAATCTACAACAATCTGGAATTATTCAACTCAACGAAGACTGTAGAGGCTACACTAATGCCTACATTCTGGAAACCAGTAATCAGGATAAGAAAAATGCGACTCATTATATGATTAACACCAATATTCCTTCCACACTGGACTGCGACGAAGTAAAAGAAGACCATTTAGCACCGCCAATTTTAAAACCAATACAATTAATTAACATTGATTTGAACGATTTAAGATTTACAAACAAGAAACTCCACGAAATCAATGATATCCTATCTTCGAAAATTAATGAAACACCAACCAATACACGCATGTCCTGGTACACAATCATTCTGAGTCTTATTGGCTCCATATTCTTCATCATTTCTACGTATTGCTGCTATCGATGTTGCAATTGTCTCCATATCAAACGACTCTGCTATAACATGACAACCTCACGTCCAAGAGAGTCACTCGCGCCAGTCATAAAAAACTTCGTGAACTGTAATATCGAATCTGATATTCACATGGAACCATTACTACCACAACCGGATGTTATCATCAATCGAGGTAGATACTCATTACCACCAGTCCTCGAGTCATCAAGAACTTCAGAAACTACAGATGAATCAGACTACGACTGTCCACCCCAGATGCAACGTTCCAACTGCCTCAGGACTCGCAGAAGTACAACTCCATTATAAAAAAAAAAGCAATTTAATGAAGAATTATATTCACTCAACATTAAACCAAGTATCGAGATAAGAAAATATTAGTAAAGATAAATCAAGGATAAATTAGTTATTAAGCTTTAAATTAATTTTAAATAGAAATTCCAAGTGTAACTACAATTTTAATCGCTCACTAATAGATTTCAATTCAATTAATATAAACCAGTAAGATCATGTCCTTATACCCGATTATAATTGATTGTAAATGGTATTTCCAATTTTAAATGGGGAGGTGTTGTATACCCCAACTCTCAGTTATTTCTAAAGGATAAACCATCTTATTACTCCGGTAGTTCCCCAACAATTTAGAATAATTACTTTATTTCTCACGTAGTTCCCCAGCAAAATACAGTATAAGAAAGACTCATTCATCAGGGGACTTACCCCAATAATCATTAAACACTTCGATAAATGAAACCCTGGGCCTTTCCCCAATGAACTCCAATTCCCCCATTGACGTCACAAA